GCAGGCGGCGATCCGGGAGGGTGCGTGGCCACGCTGGAGGAAGGAGGTTTCGGCCGGCGATTCACCGATTCACCGATTCAAGAGACCCACCAGCACCGAGCGAACTCCGAGAGAGGGAAGAGAGATCTCCACAGATTGATTCCCGGGAAGGAAAGAACCTCCAGTGCAGAGCTGAGCACCACCACCACCACCACCGCCACCGCCACCACCGCCACCACCGCCACAACCGCTACCACCAACAATACCAACCACACGCAATTTGTGAAGCCGTCACGTGGAAGGACTGAGGTCACGGGGGACGGGGCAGGCCCCCCAGGTGGTGCCGTCGACAGACCCAGCAGGTGCCATGGGTTGACCGACTGAGATGACCTGCCGATGCACCACCTGTGCCCCCTACTGTGCCAGGCTCGGTGCACGAGGTCACGGGGCAGACCCAGCAGGTTCCATGAGGTTGACCGACTGAGATGACTACTGGCAGATGCACCAGCTGTGCCCCCTACTGTGCCAGGCTAGGTGCACGAGGTCACGGGGCAGACCCAGCAGGTGCCATAGGGTTGACCGACTGAGATGACTGGCAGATGCACCACCTGTGCTCCCCTACTGTGCCAGGCTAGGTGCACGAGGTCACGTGGACAGACCCAGCAGGTGCCATGAGTTTGACCGACTGATACGAGTGGCAGATGCACCAGCTGTGCTCCCCTACTGTGCCAGGCTAGGTGCACGAGGTCACGTGGACAGACCCAGCAGGTGCCATGAGGTTGACCGACTGAGATGACCGGCCGATGCACCAGCTGTGCGCCCTACTGTGCCAGGCTAGGTGCACGAGGTCATGTGGACAGACGCAGCAGGTGCCGTGGGTTGACCGACTGAGATGAGTGGCAGATGCACCACCTGTGCCCCCTGTGCCAGGCTAGGTGCACGAGGTCACGTGGACAGACCCAGCAGGTGCCATGAGGTTGACCGACTGAGATGACCGGCCGATGCACCAGCTGTGCGCCCTACTGTGCCAGGCTAGGTGCACGAGGTCATGTGGACAGACGCAGCAGGTGCCGTGGGTTGACCGACTGAGATGAGTGGCAGATGCACCACCTGTGCCCCCTACTGTGCCAGGCTAGGTGCACGAGGTCACGTGGACAGACCCAGCAGGTGCCATGAGGTTGACCGACTGAGATGACTGGCAGATGCACCACCTGTGCTCCCCTACTGTGCCAGGCTAGGTGCACGAGGTCACGTGGACAGACCCAGCAGGTGCCATGAGGTTGACCGACTGATATGAGTGGCAGATGCACCAGCTGTGCTCCCCTACTGTGCCAGGCTAGGTGCAGGAGGCCACGGGACAGACCCAGCAGGCGCAATGTGTGGGGTGGGGTGGGTGGGGTGGTGACCGACTGAGATGACCGGTCAAATGCAACCCACCACCACCACCACCACCCGTGCCACCACCATCCGTGCCACCACCGCTTTTTCCATATTTCCATCAAACCTTCCCCCCCCCCACCTCCTTCTCCCCGTAGCTTGCGCCCCTCCGTAGGGATAGGTGGGGGGTTGGGGGAGGGTTTGCCGCTGGCACCGGCATATCGGCCACCGGCAAAAGACTTGCCGTGCGGACCGCCGCCGGTGACGCGGCTCAGATTCTACGCCTCGTGGGAGAAAAACGGCGCTATGAGATGTTAACTACCTCGCCTGGTGTACAGGAGGTCGTGGGTTCGATCCCGACCCTGACGCCTGCTACTGCTGTATATTTGGAGTTTGCGTGTCTCTCATCATCATCATCACAGTGGCTAGGAGATGTTGACTACTTCGCCTGGTGTACAGGTCATGGGTTCGATCCCAACCCTAACGATACCTGCTGTAGATTTGGAGTTTGCGTGTCTCTCTCTCTCTCATCATCATCATCACGGTGGCTAGGAGATGTTGACGACCTCAACTGGTGTACAGGGGGTCGTGGGTTCCGATCCAGACCCTGACGACGCCTGCTGCTGCTGTAGATTTGGAGTCTGCGTGTCTCTCTCTCATCATCATCATCATCACGGTGACTGGGAGATGTTGACTACTTCGCCTGGTGTACAGGAGTTCGTGGGTTCGATCCCAAACCCTGATGCCTCAAGTCGGCATGTCTCTCTCTCTCTCTCTCGCTCTCTCCGTGGTTGCGTGGATTTTTCTCCGGGTCATCCGGTTTTTCCCCCCTCCGCATTTAGAACGGACGTCACCAGCGACTGCCGCTGTAAATCGAAACAACAACAACAACAACACCACCAACACCCCGATACAAATGCGGTGGAGAGAGAAGCGGGGAGCAGCTGCCGTTGCGCGGGAAAGCACGGAAAGGATTTGCCCAAATCTTCTTTACAGCCAAAAATCGACGGGTCTTTTTTTCCTCTTCTGCAGAAGCGGTGAGCGTTGGTGAGCGTTGGTGATCGGCTTCACCGATGGCGGTGAGCGGCGGTGAGCGAGCGCCAGGGGGAAGAAACGTTGGGCCCCGGTTCAACAGCGTGTGCCGGGCAGCGTGCAACTAATGAGCCGACCGCGTCAGCCGACCGCCGCAGCTAAAGCGGTGAGAGTAGGGGGCGTTGGGAGTGGCGCGGTGGCGGTGACGGTGGCGGTGACGGTGGCGGTGGCGGGCACCAGCCGAGAGAAAAAAACCAAAAATGCCCACGGGCCCTGTCCGGTTGAGAAGGAAGGCCGGAACCCGTAGGGCTAGAGGGCCCCGAAAAAAATCACGAGCGGAGCAGGAAAGAGAAGGTGGAAGAAAGTCAGTCAGTCAGTCAGGAGGAGGAGGAGGAGGAGTGATGAGAGGCTCCATCTCCACCACGGGGCGGCGAGATTGGCCGTCACCGGCACACCTTGACGAGTCGGTCGAGGATTCCGCACGACTGCGAGCGGTGGCGCGCCGCCAGCGGGGCCGGCGCCGGCGGGGCTTTGCCGACGGCGCCGTCCGGCAAGAGGAGCTCCATGGAGGACCAGCGGCACGCGTCGGCGGCGCGCTGGCGCCCGTCGGCGAAAAACACGGAGAGATGTTAATGTCTAGATTTGAAGTCTTCTTCTTGGTTCTTTCGGTAAAGTCGTCACGTAGTAGGGAAGTAATAAAATAATAGAAATAAAACATAATAAGATACAATTCTCACGACGTTTCGGCCACAACGCAAGCAGCCGTCCTCAGGTGAAGAACGCTGTCTCTGTCTTATCGAAAGACCTGTTCTTCACCTGAGGACGGCTGCTTGCGTTGTGGCCGAAACGCCGTGAGAATTGTTCTATTTTGTTTTATTTTTATTATTTTATTATTTCCCTTCTACGTGACTTTACCGAAAGAACCAAGAAGATGAATCCCTGCAGTCACGAAAGCTTTAAATCGAATTCTAGATTTGAAGCTTTCGTGACTGCAGGGATTCATCTTCTTGGTTCTTTCGGTAAAGTCACCGTGTGGGTAAATAAAAATTTGTTATTTTATTTTTATTAATTTTTATTTAAGTTTTTTACTTACGTGACTTTACCGAAAGAACTAAGAGTACGGAGAGACGTGGTACGGGGGGGGAGAGACACACCACGCCGTGAACACGAAGAGACACGCCGGGTGAGGTGGGGGGGGGAGTCGCGACGCCGGAGAGGAGAGCCAACACCCTGGCATGACACACGTGACGCACACACACACGTGTGACGGACACACGCGTGACGCACACACACACACGTGACTGACACGCGCGTGACGCACACACGTGACGGACACACACGTGACGCACGCACACACGTGACGGACGCACACGTGACGCACGCACACGTGTGACGGACGCACACGTGACGGACACACACGTGACGGACACGCACGTGACGGACACACGCGTGACGGACACACGCGTGACGGACACACGCGTGACGGACACACGCGTGACGGACACACGTGACGGACACGCGCGTGACGGACACGCGCGTGACGGACACACGCGTGACGGTCACACGTGACGGACACACGCGTGACGGACACACGTGACGGACACACGTGACGGACACACACACGTGACAGACACACACGTGACGGACACGCGCGCACGGCGCTATTGCCAACAACGACCGCCGCGCTCGTGCCAAGCTGGGTGCACGTCGGGGGCCTTGAGGTGCGGGAGGGCTCGCTTGCCGCTGCCGGCAGCGGAGCACGGCGCCGGACGCAGGTGCCGTGAGTTGACTGGCCGAGATGACCGGCTAACACCGCAGCCGGCGAATAACACGCACACCACTAACATTTCAGCCGGCGAATAACACGCACACCACTAACACCGCAGCCGGCGAATAACACGCACACCACTAACACCACTAACACCACTAACACCGCAGCCGGCTAATAACACACACACCACTAACACCACTAACACCACTAACACCGCAGCCGGAAAAAAACACGCACACCAGCTAACACCACAACCAACCACACACACCACTAACACCACGACCAACCACACACACCACAACCAACCACACACACCGCTAACACCACAACCAACTACACGCACCGCTAACACCACAACCAACTACACACACCACTACCATCACCACAACCAACCCATGCACACACACTTACCCACCCACACACACCCACCCACCCGACACTCCACACACACACACACACACCCACCCACACACCCACCCACCTACACACTCACCCACCCACACACTCACCCACCCACCCACTCACCCACACACCCACACACCCACACACCCACCCACTCACCCACCCACCCACACACCCACACACCCACCCACACACCCACCCACCCACTCACCCACCCACTCAACCACCCACTCAACCACCCACTCAACCACCCACCCACTCACGCACTCCACCCACACACCCACCCACCCACCCACTCACCGGACACTCCACCCACACACCCACCCACCCACCCACTCACCACCCACTCACCGGAGACTCCACTCACACACACACCCACACACCCACCCACCCACTCACCCACCCACACACCCACTCCCACACATGCGATGTCACCCACCTCTCTGGCCCACGCCGGCTTCTCGCTGGGGTTGTGGTTCTGGTAGTGATACAGCTGCTGCTGCTGCTGCAGCTGCTGCTGCTGATTGGCGTGGGCCGCAGCCGCCGCCGCTGCCGCGGTGGTGGCCGGCGCCGCCGCACCGGTTGCCTTGCCGACGCCGCCGCCACCGCCGCCACCGCCACCACCACCACCACCCTGCACCTGCTGCAGCTGCTTGAGGTAGGCCTGCTCCTGCTGCAGGCGCCGGTGCAGCTTCTCGGCCTGAAGCTGCTCCTCCATCTGCTTGCGCTTGTACTCCTGTGGGGGCGGGGGGGGGCGGGGCGGGGGGAGGGGCGGGGGGCGGGCGGGGGGGGGGGGGCGACACGCGGGATGACGGCGTGGCGGGCGGCAAGGCACGGCGCGCGTACGGCACCGTGCGCGGTGGTGGTGGTGGTGAAAGGTGGTGGTGGTGAAAGGCGGTGGCGATGAAGGCGGTGGTGGTGGTAGTGGTTGTGAAGGTGGTGGTGTTGGTGAAAGGCGGTGGTGGTAGTGGTTGTGAAGGCGGTGGTGGTGAAGGTGGTGGTGAAAGGCGGTGGTGAAAGGCGGTGGTGGTGAAAGGCGGTGGTGGTGGTGAAAGGCGGTGGTGGTGGTGAAAGGCGGTGGTGGTGGTGAATCCGGTGGCGGTGGTGGTGAAAGTGGTGGTGGTGGTGGCGGTGGTGAAGGTGGTGGTGGTGGTGGTGAAGGTGGTGGTGGTGGTGTACGAGGTGGTGGTGGCGGTGGTGGTGGTGGTGAAGGTGGTGGCGGTGTTGAAGATGGTGGTGGTGGTGGCGGTGGTGAAGGTGGTGAAGGTGGTGGTGGTGGTGTACGAGGTGGTGGTACACATCGCCCGGCAAGGGACACCACATTTGACGCACGCACTTTGGTGTACACACAACGTGCAGGGCACAGGAGGTACAAACAAAGACAAAGATCCCCCGTATAGCCTGTGACAGACTGTAGGGGCAAGTGCTGTTTGCGAGCACCTATTGAAGGCCGGCGCTGTGGCACACGAGGGGGTGGTCAAACACCCCCAGCCGCCTTTGTCTCCCCAGTGGCGATGTTTACTACACCACCGCTACACCAGGTACTCATTTGAGGCCGAGTCGACCTAGGGGAGGCCCGGGACCGGTTCAGATAATCGTCGCCGGTGTTGGCCGTGAGCGGGAATCGAACTCGGGTCGCCGGGTTCGCAGCGTAGCGCTAACCGCAGCGCCACCGCTCCTCGCTAGAAGCTGCACACACAGCAACCACAAACTACACATCCAGTAAGCATAACAAGATGACATTGCACACGACACACACAACACAACACCAAACGGTACACACACACAAAGCAGACACTACACACGACCACACACTAAACAAAGGGGACACACACACTACACACATCACACTAAACACTACATACACACACACCACACTAAACACACACACCACACTAAACACACACACCACACTAAACACACACACTACCACACACACTACACACACACACTACACACTACACCACTACACACACTACACACACACACACTACACACACTACACTACACACACTACACTACACACACTACACACACACTACACACACACTACACACACACTACACACACACTACACACACACTACACACAACACACTACACACTACACACACACTACACACACACACTACACACACACACTACACACACATCACACACATCACACACACATCACACACACACACACTACACACACGGCAAGCCCTACGGGCACTGCGTGACCGCGGTTGCACGGCCCGCCAACGGCAAGCCCGGTGACCCCCGGCGTGCCCGGTGACCCCCGGCGTGCCCGGTGACCCCCGGCGTGCCCGGTGACCCCCGGCGTGCCCGGTGACCCCCGGCGTGCCCGGTGACCCCCGGCGTGCCGGTGACCCCCGGCGTGCCCGGTGACCCCCGGCGTGCCCGGTGACCCCCGGCGTGCCCGGTGACCCCCGGCGTGCCCGGTGACCCCCGGCGTGCCCCGTGACCCCCGGCGTGCCCCGTGACCCCCGGCGTGCCAGGTGACCCCCGGCGTGCCCGGTGACCCCCGGCGTGCCCGGTGACCCCCGGCGTGCCCCGTGACCCCCGGCGTGCCAGGTGACCCCCGGCGTGCCCGGTGACCCCCGGCGTGCCCGGTGACCCCCGGCGTGCCCGGTGACCCCCGGCGTGCCCGGTGACCCCCGGCGTGCCCGGTGACCCCCGGCGTGCCAGGTGACCCCCGGCGTGCCCCGTGACCCCCGGCGTGCCCGGTGACCCCCGGCGTGCCCCGTGACCCCCGGCGTGCCCGGTGACCCCCGGCGTGCCCCGTGACCCCCGGCGTGCCCCGGTGACCCAAGGGGCCGTGCGGGGTGGAGCAGGAGGAGCAGGAGGAGTGCAGAGGGCGGCAGAGGAGAGATGCTGACGGGGGGTAGTGGTGGTGGTGGTGGTGGTGCAGCCGGGGAGAGTACAATGCGTGCGCGTGTGTACGCACACAGCGCGCACGCAGTGTGTACGCGGCGTGCGCACACGCTGTGTGAGTACACGCTGTGTGAGTACACGCTGTGTGAGTACACGCTGTGTGAGTACACGCTGTGTGTACACACAGAACTACACACCGAGTACACGCTGTCTGCACACTGCGTGTACACAGCACGTACACTGTGTGAGTATACACGCTGTGTGAGTGCGTTACCAGCAGTAGCGCCTGCTCGTGCAGCAGCTGAGTACACACTGTGCGAGTACACGCTGTGTGAGTACACACTGAGTACTCGCTGTGTGCGTTACCAGCAGTAGCGCCTGCTCGTGCAGCAGCTGTGAGTACACGCTGTGTGAGTACACGCTATGTGAGTACACACTGAGTACTCGCTGTGTGAGTACACGCTGTGTGCGTGCTGTGTACACGCTGTGTGTACATGCTGTGTGTGTGAGTACACGCTGTGTGTACTCGCTGTGTGCGTTACCAGCAGTAGCGCCTGCTCATGCAGCAGCTGCTGCTGCAGGATTTCGAGCTGCCTCTGCTCCTCCTCTAGCTGCCTCCGAATGTACTCCTGGCGGCGGCGCCACGGCACGGCACAACCGTGCCACGGCACACCACAACCGTGCCACGCCACGTAACACGCAACACCACGGCACAACCATGCCACGGCACACCACGCCACGTAACACGCAACACCACGGCACAACCATGCCACGGCACACCACGCCACGTAACACGCAACACCACGGCACAACCATGCCACCGCACACCACGCCACGTAACACGCAACACCACGGCACAACCATGCCACGGCACACCACGCCACGTAACACGCAACACCACGGCACAACCATGCCAGGGCACGCCACGCCACGTAACACGCAACAAGACGGCACGGCACACCACGCCACACCGTGCCACGCCACGTCACGGCACGTAACACGCAACACCACGGCACACCGTGCCACAGCACGCCACGTAACACCATAACCATGCCACGGCACGGCACGGCACACCGTGCCACGCCACGTGACACCGAGTCACACCGGTGAGCACGTACAGTGGTGACAGTGGTGGTGGGTGCGGTGGTGGTTGTGGTGGTGACAGTGGTGGTGGTTGTGGTGGTGGTTGTTGTGGTGGTAGGTTATGGTGGTGGTTGTGGTGATGGTGGTTGTGGTAGTTGTGGTGGTGGTGGTAGTGGTGGTAGTGGTGGTGATGGTGGCGGTTACGGAGGCGGTGATGGTGGTGGCATTGAAAGTGGCGGTGGTGATGGTGGTGATAGGGGCGATGGTGGTTGTGGTTTTGGTGACGGTAAAGTGGTGCGGTGGTAGTTTTTCGGTGAAGGGGATACGGCGGTGGTTGTGGTGGTTGTGGTTGTTGCGGTGGTGGTTGTGGTTGTTGTTGCGGTGGTGGTGGTGGTTGTTGTGGTTGTGGTGTACACCAGCCGGGCGCCAGTCATTCAAAATAAACAAAACAGCGAAGACACGGACAACGGAGGTGGACAGGAGACAGACAGAGACACAGAGAGACACACAGAGACACATAGACACACACACACAGAGACACACAGACACACACAGACAGAGACACACAGAGACAGACAGAGAGCAGGCGAGAGACAGAGACACACAGAGAGACACGGGGACGCAAAGAGACACACAGACACACAGAGACAGACACACACAGACACACAGAGACAGACAGAGACAGACAAAGACACACAGAATGTATCCATGGCAGGCAGGGCAGGAGGAGGAGAGGGAGGGAGAGAGGGGGAGGGAGAGACAGAGGCAGTGCCCAGTGAGAGCCGTCACGTTGTCACCGCCACCACCACCGCTGCCACCACCACCACCACCGCCGCCACCGCCACCGCCACCGCCACCACCACCACCGACAACGCCGCCACCGCCGCCACCGCCGCCACCGCCGCCACCACCACCGCCGCCACCGCCGCCACCACCACCCAAACGTCCTTCGGTTCGTTGCCGGCGTGCCGCATCCAGTGACCCCCCCCCTCACGTGACGCTGTGGTTCAACCCCCACCACGACCTCCCGTACCGCAGGAAAGGTTGTCAACATCTCGCCCACAGCGCACGGTCTCACGGACACTCACGCACGCTCACTCGCGCACACTCACTCACGCACACTCACGCACACTCGCTCGCGCACACACGCACGCTCACGCACACACGCTCGCGCACGCACGCTCACGCACACACGCTTGCGCACGCACGCTCACGCACACACGCTCGCGCACACTCACTCACGCACACTCACGCACGCTCTCTGGCGCACACTCACTCACGCACGCTCACGCACACTCACTCACATAGTCACGCACTCACGCACGCACGCTCACACACCACTCATGCACACACGCACACTCTTAATAATCTTCACGCCACCCGGCACACCACATCAAGTCCCCCGCTCGCTGCAGCTGTGGCTACGGCGAGTCACGTGCCGCCCAACTCGGCGGCAGCGCGCTAACCGCTGTGCCACTCATCCCTCGCACTCCACCCGGTGAGCCGGCGACCTTGTCAGCCGGTGACCCTATGACCCTGTGACCCTATGACCCTATTACCTGGTGATCTGGTGACCCTATGACCTGGTGAGCCGGTGACCCTATGACCCGGTGACCCTATGACCCTGTGACCCTATGACCTGGTGAGCCAGTGACCCTATGACCCGGTGGCCCTATGACCCTATTACCTGGTGATCTGGTGACCCTATGACCTGGTGAGCCGGTGACCCTATGACCCTGTGACCCTATGACCTGGTGAGCCAGTGACCCTATGACCCGGTGGCCCTATGACCCTATGAGCCGGTGAGCCTATGACCATGTAACCCTATGACCTGGTGACCCTATGACCTGGTGACCCTATGAACTGGCGAGCTGATGAACCTGTGACCCTGTGACCCTATGACCTGGTAAGCCAGTGATCCAATGACCCTGTGACCCTATGACCCTTAGAGTCGGTGACCCCGGGCGGACCTGCTGCTCGCGCTCGGCGATGCGCCGCTCCTCCTCCTCTCGGCGCCGGCGCTCCAACTCCATCCGGCGCAGTTCCTCGTCTCGGCGCTGCTGCTCCCGGCGCAGCTCCCGGTCGCGCCGCTGCCTCTACACCGTCACCACCACCACCACCACCACGTGTGTGTGTGCGTGTACACGTTGTGTGTGTGTGTGTGCAGCTCCCGGTCGCGCCGCTGCCTCTACACCGTCACCACCATCACCACCACCACCACGTGTGTGTGTGTGTACACGCCGTGTGTGTGTGTGTACACGCCGTGTGTGTGTGTGTACACGTGTGTGTGTGCGTGTACACGTGTGTGTGTGCGTGTACACGTGTGTGTGTGTGTACACGCCGTGTGTGTGTGTGTACACGCCGTGTGTGTGCGTGTACACGTGTGTGTGTGCGTGTACACGTGTGTGTGTGTGTACACGCCGTGTGTGTGTGTGTACACGCCGTGTGTGTGTGTGTACACGCCGTGTGTGTGTGTGTACACGTGTGTGTGTGCGTGTACACGTGTGTGTGTGCGTGTACACGTGTGTGTGTGCGTGTGTACGTGCCGTGTGTGTGTGTACACGCCGTGTGTGTGTGTGTACACTCAGAGTGTGTGTACACTGTGTGTGCGTACACACTGTGTGTGTACACGCCGTGTGTGTGTGTGTGTACGTGCCGTGTGTGTGTACGTGCGTGTACACGCTCCGTGGCGCGCGTGCATACACCGCATCCACTCAACTCCCGTGGTGCCCACTCCGGCGCCACGCCGCGCGACTCCCCCGACTCCCCAACGCGGCGCCCGCTGGTATTTACCAGGGCCGCCGACTAAAACGTGGCCGCAATTCGAACCGGCAACGTCCGCATCGTCGAGAGACGGGGCGCCGATGGCGCCGTGGAAGGCGAAGATGAATCCGCGACAGAGCGGACGAACCATCGATGCGCACTCGTAAGGTTTTTCGGTAAAGTCACGTAGGTAAAAAAATTTAATAAGAAAAATATTTTTGAAATAGTAACACTGATAATTGTTTTTAAATCCTTTACATTAAGTTCGCTTGCTTGCTTACGACCGTGCAAATCTTTCGGTAGTTTTTTAACCCACTTCCCGTGATCCAATCGAGCTGACATTTTGCACACAGACTCGTTGTGCATGACAATTAATGTTCGTGAAATTTTTTTCCCAAAATTTTATACTTTTTAGGACAAAAATATATTTAATTACCAATTGCTTAATGGTGCAATGCAATCATCTGACCCATAGGTGGCAGCCATCTCAAGCCAGAGGACGAGAGGACTCTAGCCGCCACGCATATAAAGGATTTATAGTGAAAAACTTTGTTTTAACGGGTTATACTTGTTTTTACCCTTCTATCTGGCAACAAAACTGACACCTTTTTTTACGAGGAGTCATGTTTGCATTGACCACAATACCTGCGGTCGTAATGCAAACAAAAAACACAACTCTGATAATGTTTGTGCACCGTCCTTGAAGTTTATTGGTCCACACCCGAGACAGCTTTCCTTAGAGCCTAGTCTCACATGGTGTTGGACCAGATGACGCCAAAAGGCACACAACTCAAAGACAATGCACCATCAGAGTATGAGAGCTCGGGGTAAGCACTTACACCATTGGAACCTCATTTGCCAGTAAAAATATATAATTGTTTTTTACCCTTCTATCTGGCAACAAAACTGACACCTTTTTACGAGGAGTCATGTTTGCATAGACCACAATACCTGCGGTCGTAATGCAAACAAAAAACACAACTCTGAAAATGATATGCACTGTCCTTGAAGTTGATTGGTCCACACCCGAGACAGATTTCCTTAGAGCCTAGTCTCACATGGGTTGGACCAGATGACGCCAAAAGGCGTAACAAAAAGGTGTCAGTTTTGTTGCCAGATAGAAGGGTAAAAAAAACAATCATCGTATATTTTACTGGCAAATGAGGTTCCAATGGTATAATAACACTGGTCAACAAAAAAACAAAATCTGGCCTGGACTTTTGCAGCTGTTCTAGACTAATTTCAGGGTGCTGATTCCAAATCTGATCTCAGATTTGCTCTATCACATCTCATTTTTATGCTATCGGCATACCCCATTTTCATTGATTTTACCCGAAATTAACTCCGTCACTTACGATTGCAAGTTGTTGCGAGTCAGTGACTGCTTTAGTGTTAAAATATGGTGCTGTATTTTTAGGATAGTGTGTTTAAAATATCATTGTATGTAGATATCCACATTTATTTAATATTTTTCTTCTGCAGTTTTTATTGAAAATGCAATATTTGATATCTCAAAAACCTGATGTGATAGACTAAAAACTGATGCCAGATTTGGAATCGGCACCCCCCAAAATTACATTAACACCGTTGGAATACCTCATGCCAGAAAAAGTGTGTTGACCAGTGTAATAGAAATAAAATAATAAAAATCACGACGTTTCGGAGGCAACACAAGGCTTCCACAAGTAGCACTAATCCCATATTTGCATTTCCCATAAATATGCTAAATTCCTCTTGATATGCAAATTCCTTTGTCAAGGCGCTCTTCCCCCTCTAACCCAGCAGCTTAAATATACGCTGCCAAGCTTGGTGGTGCTCATTCAGACGCTGTCTTTCCGACAGACCTATTCTTCACCTGAGGACGGCTGCTTGCGTTGTGGCCGAAACGTCGTGAGAATTGTATTTTATTATGTTTTAATTTTATTATTTTATTATTTCCCTTCTACGTGACTTTACCGAAAGAACCAAGAAAGAAGTCTCCGTCATCAGGTGTGACCGTCACAGCTCGATTTACCGTCTCAAGCGAGGCACGGATCAAATCTGACGTGTTCAACGCACGCGCCGGCCGATGTGTTCGAGCGCCGATCGAGCACCGATTCAAAATCGATTGCGTGAATAATCAAAGCCTTGGAAATTAATCAAAGACGGAAACTTTCCCAACGGATCGGGCAGAGGGAAAACGTGGAAGCGGATCGAGGAGGAGGAGGAGGAACCGGGAGTTGGATTGACGTGGACACGGGAAAACCAGGAGCGGAAGTGGCTTCGATGAAAGCGGGAACGGAGACGGAGCGAGGAATGGAGTAGAGCGGAAGGGACACGTAGCACGGAAGCCATGATCACAATCACGCGCACACCATGATCACAATCACGCGCACGCCATGATCACAATCACGCGCACACCATGATCACAATCACGCGCACGCCATGATCACAATCACGCGCACGCCATGATCACAATCACGCGCACGCCATGATCACAATCACGCGCACGCCATGATCACAATCACGCGCACGCCATGATCACAATCACGCGCACGCCATGATCACAATCACGCGCACACCATGATCACAATCACGCGCACGCCATGATCACAATCACGCGGTGATTAGCTCAGCACAGACACACGTGATAACAGTCAGCGCGCACACACAAACGTGATTGATTACAATCAGCGCACACACATGATTGATTACAATCAGCGCACACACGTGATTGATTACAATCAGCGCACACACGTGATTGATTACAATCAGCGCACACACGTGATTGATTACAATCAGCGCACACACGTGATTGATTACAATCAGCGCACACACGTGATTGATTACAATCAGCGCACACACGTGATTGATTACAATCAGCGCACACACGTGATTGATTACAATCAGCGCACACACGTGATTGATTACAATCAGCGCACACACGTGATTGATTACAATCAGCGCACACACGTGATTGATTACAATCAGCGCACACACGTGATTGATTACAATCAGCGCACACACGTGATTGATTACAATCAGCGCACACACGTGATTGATTCCAATCAGCGCACACACGTGATTGATTCCAATCAGCGCACACACGTGATTGATTCCAATCAGCGCACACACGTGATTGATTACAATCAGCGCACACAAACGTGATTGATTACAATCAGCGCACACAAACGTGATCACAATCAGCGCTCGTACGTGATTACAATCAGTGCGCACACCTGATCACAATCAGCACTCACACATGCGCTGATAGGAACGGCACACGTGATGTTGGTCAGCACACGCGTGATCACACTGACACACACACACGAGATTACAATCACACATCAACTACAAGCACCAGCACACGTGACACAAGCACCAGCACACGTGACACAATCACCAGCACACGTGACACAAGCACCAGCACACGTGACACAATCACCAGCACACGTGACACAAGCACCAGCACACGTGACAAGCACCAGCACACGTGACACAAGCACCAGCACACGTGACACAAGCACCAGCACACGTGACACAAGCACCAGCACACGTGACACAAGCACCAGCACACGTGACACAAGCACCAGCACACGTGACACAAGCACCAACACACGTGACACAAGCACCAGCACACGTGACACAAGCACCAGCACACGTGACACAAGCACCAGCACACGTGACACAAGCACCAGCACACGTGACACAAGCACCAGCACACGTGACACAATCACCAGCACACGTGACACAATCACCAGCACACGTGACACAAGCACCAGCACACGTGACACAATCACCAGCACACGTGACACAATCACCAGCACACGTGACACAAGCACCAGCACACGTGACACAATCACCAGCACACGTGACACAATCACCAGCACACGTGACCACTCGGACAGACAACGGTGGCTCTGGGCAGTGACAATGGCACAACACAAACAAACATGGCCCTGGGGGAGAGGGGGGGAGGGGGGGAGGTGTCTAGGAGTGGGGGTCGTGGGGGTCTTGGGGGGAGGGGAGAGGGTCTTGGGGGGAGGGGAGGGGGTCGCGAGGGGGTCGCGAGGGGGGGGGGGAAGGGGTCTTGGGGGGAGGGGAGGGGGTCTTGGGGGGAGGGGAGGGGGTCGCGAGGGGGGGGGGAGGGGGTCTTGAGGGGAGGGGAGGGGGTCTTGGGGGGGGGGAGGGGGTCTCGAGAGGGGAGGGTGTCGTGGGGACAACGACGACGACGACTACAACAGACGACCCTACAGACACTGCACTAGACGCTCCCACAGGCTGCGTCACAGAGCCTGTAGTGCAGGCCGCAGCGCCCCCCCCCCCCGTGCCCCCCCCCGGGCCCCCCCCCCGTGCCCCCCCCCGTGCCCCCCCCCTCACCTCCTCGAGGCGTCTGCGCTGCTCGCGCTCCTGCTCGATGCGCTTGTGCCGCTCGGCCAACATCTGCTGCTGCTTGTGCCGCTCCTGCGCCGCCTGCATCAGCTGCTGCTGCCGCCGCTGGGCCTCAGAGTTCTCCTGCCGGGGGGGGGGGGGGGGGGGGTGTAGTGTCACTGTGTGTGAGTCACTGTGTGTGTGTGTGTCACTGTGTGTGTGTCACAGCATCTGCTGCTGCTTGTGCCGCTCCTGCGCCGCCTGCATCAGCTGCTGCTGCCGCCGCTGGGCCTCAGAGTTCTCCTGCCGGGGGGGGGGGGGGGGGGGTGTAGTGTCACTGTGTGTGAGTCACTGTGTGTGTCACCGTGTGTGTGTCACTGTGTGTGTGTGTCACTGTGTGTGTGTCACAGCATCTGCTGCTGCTTGTGCCGCTCCTGCGCCGCCTGCATCAGCTGCTGCTGCCGCCGCTGGGCCTCAGAGTTCTCCTGCCGGGGGGGGGGGGGGGGGTGTAGTGTCCCTGTGTGTGAGTCACTGTGTGTGTCACTGTGTGTGTGTCACTGTGTGTGTGTGTGTCACTGTGTGTGTGTGTGGGGAGCAGTAGTGTAGCGGTTAGCGCGCTGCGCTATGAACCTGGCGACCCGGGTTCGATTCCCGCTCACGGCCATCACCAGTGACGATTATCTGAACCGGTCCTGGGCCCCCCCTAGGTCGACTCAGCCTTAAATGAGTACCTGGTGCGGTGTGTAAACATCGCCACTAGGGAGACAAAGGCGGTCGGGCGTGGTGCTGGCCACCCACCCCCTCGTGTACCGTTCCGGCCTTCATAGGTGCTCGCTAACAGCACTTGCCCCTACAGTCTGTTCAGGCTACACGGGGGATCTTTGTGTGTGTCTGTGTGTCACTGTGTGTGTGTCACTGTGTGTGTCACTGTGTGTGTGTGTCACTGTGTGTGTGTCACTGTGTGTGTGTGTCAGTGTGTGTGTCACTGTGTGTGTGTCACTGTGTCAGTGTGTGTGTCAGTGTGTGTGTCACTGTGTGTGTCTGTGTGACTGTGTGTGTGTCTGTGCGTGTGTCTGTGCGTGTGTCTGTGCTTGTGTCTGTGCGTGTGTCTGTGTGTGTGTCTGTGTGCCTGTGTCTGTGTGCCTGTGTCTGTGTGTGTGCCTGTGTCTGTGTGTGTGCCTGTGTCTGTGTGTGTCTGTGTGTGTCTGTGTGCCTGTGTCTGTGTGTGTGTCTGTGTGTGTGTGTGTCACTGTGTGCGTGTGTGTCACTGTGTGTCACTGTGTGTGTGTCACTGTGTGTGTGTGTGTCACTGTGTGTGTGTCACTGTGTGTGTCTGTGTCTGTGTGTGTGTCTGTGTGTCGGTGTCTGTGTCTGTGTGTCTGTGTGTCTGTGTCTGTGTGCCTGTGTCTGTGTGTCTGTGTGTCGGTGTCTGTGTGCCTGTGTCTCTGTGTGTCTGTGTGCCTGTGTCTGTGTGTCTGTGTGTCGGTGTCTGTGTGTGTGTGTGTCTGTGTGTGTGTGTGTCTGTGTGTGTGTCTGTGTGTGTGTGTGTCTGTGTGTGTGTGTCTGTGTGTGTGTGTGTCTGTGTGTGTGTGTGTCTGTGTGTGTGTGTCTGTGTGTCTGTGTCTGTGTGTGTCTGTCTGTGTGTGTCTGTGTCTGTGTGTGTGTCTGTGTGTGTCTGTGTGTGTGTGTCTGTGTGTGTGTGTCTGTGTGTGTGTGTCTGTGTGTGTGTCTGTCACTGTGTGTGTCTGTCACTGTGTGTGTC